GACACACACACACACACACAGAGGAATATTGGAAGATAAAAACATACTGAACTGCACAAAAGATACTGGAGGCATTGTTTGATTTCATGAACTGTTCTCTGAAATTTACTTAGAAGAAATATTTTTCACCCAGGAATTGCTAGCAAGTTTCACAATTACAAAGAAATAACAAGCAATACATTGAATTAAACATGATTTTTTTTTTTGAAGTAGAAAAACAAATAGTATTTTCTTGTAAAACATGTACTCAAATAATCTACAAACTCATTCGCTGTCTGTGTAGTTCTGAGTGAAGTGTTTGAACAGAGTGTGTGTGTGTGTGTGTGTGAGTGAGTGTGTGTGTGTCTGTGTGTGTGTGTGTGTGTATGTTTGTGTATGAGAGTGTGTGTGTGTGTGTGAGTGTGTTTGTTTATCAGTCTAAAGTACAGCAGCTGATGACTGCTGCAGGCTGGACTCACCCTCACAGACGCTGTTGTAGTTGGAGCAGCAGTCTCCAGCGTTCATACAGTCCTCAGAGCAGTGACACCTGCTGCCAGACAGCCGTCTCTCTCCACAGCGCAGCGCCGTGCACTCCCAGCTCTGAGCTACACACACAACAGCTCAACTGATTTATTTCACATTCTTATAATAATACTGATATTGTCATGTTTGTGTTAATATTTGATTTGTTAAAAATCCCTGAAATTAAGGTCATATTCAGCAGCTGTGGTTGCCAGAACATTACCTTACAAAATTTGGTAAGCTTTACAGACTGAACTTAAATTTACAGTAAAAAAAAGTGTGTATTTCATTAACTTAAATATTGTTAATATACCAAATTAGTCAAATTTGTCTAGTGCCTTTATAATATATTGACAACCAGCATAAAACACATGCGATAAAGCGAAAGACACATGATTGATCAATAGAAATAGCTTTTCCACAAGCTGATTCTAAAATACTGAAGGTGCAAACACAAACACAAATCACCATCATCATAACACACATAACACTAAAGTAATGCAATATACATTCATTTAACAACATTAGATGGAACATAAAACCCTAATGTACAGAGAAACTAAGAAACATTTAAATGAAAAACCATCAAAAGTGAGCTGTCACATTTCTGGGAATGTCAGTTTAGTTTTTTTACTTCCAAAAACTGTAAATTGAACAGTATTTTTTTTTTAAATTTTTATTGTACAGTATTTTACTGTAACATTACATGTAATGTCCCATTAGATCTATTACAGTTTTTCACTGTGTAGTGTACAGTGAGTATAGTTAAAGGAAATTATTACAAATATCAGACATACACTGTAAAAATGATTGTAATTATAATGGTAAAACTTAAAATAACAAAAAATTTCATAATTGCCCTTAAATTGATAAAAATGTTGCAATAAATCAATCAAGAAATCAAACAAAAAAAGTCACAGCAAACATCAGCAATTCAACCTGAAAAGAAATAAAATTAATATTCTGGGATGGGACACGCTGGTTGAATATAGTTATATTTTGACATTTAACAGATGCTTGTATAGAGTGAGTAATTCATCAACTAACTTCATTTAGAAAACATCAAGGCAGTGTAATATCATAACTAAGTCTAACCATTAGTTAAATATTTGTTAACTCATTTGGTTTCTGTAAGGCACAGACTTGTACCTGTGGACACAGATGTTCAGATAACACACATTAAGGTCACTCACTAGGCAGCAGACAGATGTCCTGGTAGTCAAAGCAGCAGCTGTGAGTCTCCACACACTGACTATCACAGCGACACGAGGCTGAATCCACATCCAGCGGCTCATAGCAACGATTCCTGCAGGACGCCGACACGTCTGACACACACACACACACACACACACACCAGTGTCAGTGGACAGGTGAATGTCCACATCATTATTTCACTACAGAACAATGTCCTAATGCAAAAAACGGTTCTAACAATATCATTTTCTATAGGCAAAATATCATGTTTAATATCTGGCAAAGGCATAGCAACACTATAACAACACCCTAGAAACCATACAATAGATCCTAGCAACTGCATAGCAATTCCAAACAACCACCCAGAATACCCTAGCAACCACATAACAATCTGCCTATCTATCTGAGAGACTGAATGGCCTTAAAATCTTCAGATTTCAAGCTTTTTAAAACTGCGTCAAACTTAAAAACTTTAAACTTAAAACTGCTTCAAAATTAAAATCTTCAAACTTAAAATCTTTAAACTTAAAAACTTTAAACTTAAAAACTTTAAACTTAAAAACTTAAAATCGTTAAACTTTAAATATTTAAACTAAAATACTTAAAACCTTTAAACTTAAAACTGCTTCAAAATTAAAATCGTCAAACTTAAAATCTTTAAACTCAAAAATGTAAAACTTAAAACGGCATCAAACTTAAAATCTTGAAACTTAAAACTGCTTCAAAATTAAAATCTTTAAACTTTAAATATTTTAACTTAAAAACTTTAAACTTAAAATCTTTGTCAAACTTAATCTTAAAACTTAAAACTGCTTCAAAATTAAAATCTTTAAACTTAAAAACTTTAAACTTAAAATCTTTAAACTTAAAAACTTTAAACTTAAAATCTTTAAACTTAAAAACTTTAAACTTAAAACTGTCAAACTTAAAAACTTTAAACTTAAAACTGCGTCAAACTTAAAAATTTTAAACTTAAAACTGTCAAACTTAAAAACTTTAAACTTAAAACCTTTGTCAAACTTAATCTTAAAACTTAAAACTGCTTCAAAATTAAAATCTTTAAACTTAAAAACTTTAAACTTAAAATCTTTAAACTTAAAAACTTTAAACTTAAAACTGTCAAACTTAAAAACTTAAAATCGTTAAACTTTAAATATTTAAACTAAAATACTTAAAACCTTTAAACTTAAAACTGCTTCAAAATTAAAATCGTCAAACTTAAAATCTTTAAACTCAAAAACGTAAAACTTAAAACGGCATCAAACTTAAAATCTTGAAACTTAAAACTGCTTCAAAATTAAAATCTTTAAACTTAAAAACTTTAAACTTAAAATCTTTAAACTTAAAAACTTTAAACTTAAAACTGTCAAATTTAAAATCTTTAAACTTAAAACTGCATCAAACTTAAAAACTTTAAACTTAAAATCTTTAAACTTAAAAACTTTAAACTTAAAACTGTTAAACTTAAAACTGTCAAACTTAAAAACTTTAAACTTAAAACTGCATCAAACTTTAAAACTTTAAACTTAAAATGGCTTCAAAATTAAAATCTTCAAACTTAAAATCTTTAAACTTAAAACTGCTTCAAACTTAAAATATTTAAACTTAAAATTGTCACACTTAAAATCTTCAAACTAATTTGAAAATATCCAAACTTAAAATCTTACTTTAAATATTCAAACATTGAATTGAATTAAAATTTCTTTGACACGTTTACAAGCTATACAAAATAACAAGTATCCCATACACTTTAAAAAACTGTAGAGGATAAAAAACACAAAAAAGCCATTGGCTTATTTCCATTGTGGTCCTCGCGGTAAATATAAAGAACAGAGGAAAGGACAGGCCAAGTATGCTGCCCCAATTTGTGCTCTGCATTTATCCCATCCAAGTGCACACACACACAC